CTCTCTCTCGCTCCCCCTCTTCTCTCTTTCGGTACGAGAATTTGTGTACGCGAGAGCACACAAGTGCACAAACTCACACGTGAACACGAGGCGTTAACGCCAACGAGCAAACTCCAGACGCGCACGATGTATATGTCGGTGTTGCTTGCAACTCGGGCCATCATCGTCGTCACACGGTAGGTATGGTAGGTAATGATTCGGTAATGACCCTGACGGATAGCCGACCGATGTGTGTGTGTGTGGGTCTTTTCTCTCTCTCTCTTCTCCTCCGCGAACCCCCGGCCCAAAGTCCCGATGATGCACGGCGAGACCTTTGTTTTTGCGTTTTAAACGGCGGTTATTAGCTCCGTAGCAGCCACGGCCACTGATGCCTCTCCACCTCCAACTCTTTTTCTTCCACTGCTACCACTACAAGGGCTTTTCTTCATCTTTGTCCGCCTCGGTATCCCTCCGTCTTCCTCTGGTGCTTTGATAATGCGGCCCGCTAATGGGCCAGCAAGGGGAGGTATCGGTCGGAAGTGTCGGGGTTGGTGCCGAGAAGAAGAAGAAGAAGAAGAAGCAAGACGGGAAAGATAGAGAGACTTCGCGAGGAGAGGAAGGGGAGGAGGAAGAGCGGCAGCGGTAATGACAGGCCGTCCGCTCTCGAAGCTAATATAGATGAATGCCCTGCCCTCCTTGCCCTCCGGAACAACGGGAGAACATGGAATCGCTCTCTTTCTCCGTTTCTTTCTTCTCCACGCGCGGCGAACTCAAACGGCCGACAGAACTGCGACGAAAATATACGAGCGCCAATGTAGCGAATTTTCGTATGCGAAGACACATTTTTCGCGAAAAGGAAGATGAGGTTCCAACACCTACGGTTGAGTCTTATCCGAAAGGGACGTGCGTCAGAAGAAGACGCCGCCATCGCAGCTCTGGGTGGCTAATGTTTCTTCCGACATTGACCGTGATGCCGAACACGTACGCGAAGAAGGGCCGGCGAAGAAGCGAGGAGGGGAGAAAGAGCGAGTGAAAAAAGGAGAGAAAGAGAGCCGGAGGGGCATCTATCTATCAGCGCCGGCGTGAAGTGGGCGGGTGCATGCGCCGTATTGCTCCGTACGGCCGCTCTCTCATTAACTCCGGACGCCGCCGGAGCCCCGCATCCGTGCACACTACCGCGACTGTTGGCGTCGTACGTGCTTATCTGGAGCGCGAGGCGGTGTCATCGGCTGATGGAGAATCACGCCGTGATTCCTCATCGATCGACCGAGAGAGTCGGTGTGTAAATCTCCCTCCCCCTTCGTCTCTATATTCACTAAACTTTACTGATTCACACTTTCATTCGTTCCATTGAGGGACGTTTTCTTTTCCGCCCAACATCGGAATGCAAAGCGAACGATGACTTTCGATCGACATCTCGTGGATTCGAGATAGCGGCGAACAACAGGTCTCGGAATGACGCTGCAAGCGGCCTGCTCTGTGTTAGGCAGGTGCTGATTTGGGGAGGATCGCGCCTCGCGGTGATTCGAGGGTGAGTTCGCACGCGAGACGTTCGCCACCGAGACGCGAAGTCATTAAAGCGTGCCCGCTCTTCATCTCTCATTGACTTCCCGTGAAATTGCCCAACGAAAACATGCCAATCGATTGAACTCATATCACCGCCGGACGAACGATCGAAGATCAGTTTTTCGCCGATCCGAATTAAGAACTTCTGCATGGAGAGAAGGATCCTCCGGAATCTATTATTCCGGAAAAGTAAGAAAAATATGACAATTTTCACGCTAATATTGAGGAAGAAGAGACCTTGTTGTAAAGATAACAAAATACTTCTTATAATCACGAAGAAATGATAAAAGAGTAGGTAGGTACGTAGCTCTAAATATGCATGGAAAATATAGTATTATTTTTCTTTTATATAATCTAAAATGAAAGAACCGGTGGTATGTTATATAAATCATATAATAATTGGTTTTTTTTTTTAGAAACTAATAACTTCCAGTTGGAAAGATATTTTCTTTTGAAGGCAAAATATGAAAATACGACAGGCCGGCACAACTTATCTCGGTACGAAACGTTGCGATCCTACCGCTCGCTAGGTTTTTACAGTCTGAGAAGGATGCGGGCGAGCGATGCGAGAATATTACAAGCTGAATATTCAAGGGGGTTTCCGCGCGCACGAGTTGCCGCCTTCTTTTAATAGAGAATAAACGTAAATTCGCTCTGATATATGTCCGGGATGATGTACATGAAAATATCGTAGAAACGGCTCGATCGATCACAAAAACTTCCTTCTCGCGCCCGAAACATATCGCGAGCGGGAAGATGGCGCGCTTCGGCTATTAATAATCGTAAACGAGAAGTTCGCGTGTTTTTGCCGGACACGCTCGCGCGACTTAATTTTTTAACGACCGGCCTCGCGCCCTGGTGAGAGGACCGCAGGGTAAAGAGAGAAATTGAAAGAGAGGGGATACATCGCATACTTACTACAATAAACGCGACGCATCGTCCCAAGGACGGGTGCTGAAATCGGTCCGTAATTAAAAGGCAGCGTTACTTTGTCTCGGGCTTTTCTCGAGTCAGCCGGCGGGCTTCTTCGCGCCGGGACGATGCTTTATCGCCGGCCGTACGGCCTCATTTAATAAGTAAGAACGACACGCCGGTAGCTGCATCGACGCGAGCACGCCCACTAAATTGTTCACGGCGGCGACTCGCGGCGATCTCCCAGGATCGCGATTCAAGGTTTTATGCAAATCGATGCGTACACCGCGAATCGATAACGGCTGCCCGATAAAGTCGTCTTTCCCGCCTGACGTTCCTTTCTCACGTTTCCGCAATTTTGGAGAGAGTTCGCGACCAAAGTGATGACGCACAGAATTTAGTGCATATCTTCGAAACGCTCGGGTATCGAGCGTTAAGACTTCCCGAGTCGACATTTTCACGCTACTTTTACGCTCTTCAAAACAACCTGTTTTCAAAACTCATCATTATCAAATTGCTAGTAAATTTTGCCATCTTCATTTCCACCGTGTTGAACATGGGGCGACAACTTGCAGTCCGACATTAACCTACGATCCGTTTCCGCACGCCAGAACATCCTTTCTTCTTCTCTTCCTTTTTTTCTTGATTTTCTTCATCGTTTCAGCATGCCGTGAGACACCTGGCCCACAATTGCGAAACGCAATTAAATTGTTCATCCGATCGTAATGAGGCGGTAATCGCGACACTTAAGCGTTTTCGGTGTGTGCCGATCGTGAAAGCCATTAACGGTACCGCGGATTTTTCGGGGCGCGACAGAAAAACATGCGCGCTTTAATTGTGCAAGTTATGCGCGGCAGCGTTCTGAAATATGGGCTAATTAATTGCGGGCGATCTCGCGCGAGATAGTGGCGGCTACTATCTGAGTTTTTCGTGAAATCCAGCCCAGCTGCGATCACGTGCAAATTGGAAGAGGCGTGACGCAGAGTCTTGGTTAACGCGCCGCGCTTCTTAATATATTTCTAAGGATCGGGCGGTGCGCCGGACGGTTTTTCGTTAAATATGGCACCGAGACCACTTGTTCTCCTCCTGGAGCGAGCTAATCCATTTTTTCACTCTAACGTGAAAATCTTGATAAGAGAGAGAGAGGGAAGGTGTGTCCGTCTCGTGTTTGTTTCGAGTTATTAATCGTCATCATTTGATTCGTGTTAGAAAATTCTTGGTGCCGAACAATTTCAGGATCTTCTCCTTTTTGCGTTCGACTGTCACGTCAAGTCGAAATATTGGAAATCTTTAATTCTGCAAACGCAGATAGCAAAATAGGTCCCACAGCACAAAAGCGTTGTCAGCATTGCAGAAATGTGAACGTTTCAAGAATCGATCTAAGGATGTTAGTCTGCGAATATTCCGCCGGAATTTACTAGCTCGAATAACACCAGACGGAAAAAAAGATACTTTCTCATGCGATGACGGGCGACAAGCATCGACGATCGATTGCAACCACCGGTAAAACATCGCGACACCAGCATTAATGATGATCCTGGCGGCGTTGAACAAAAAGGGCATACACACGTTTGTCGCATAAATATATACATTTTTCTGTTCCAACCGTAAACGCGGTGAGAGGAGAAAGTGAGATAGAGAATACGTGCGAGCGGGCAGGTGCGTCGTCATTCATGCAGATAGATGATCGCGGATAACTCGAAATCGGCCGCATGCGCGCACACCCTGAACGCATGCGGCGTTTAACGTTGTATAAATATCCGCGCGCGCCGAGAGAGAGAGAGAGATCTAAGCGATAATTTTATCGGCTCCGCGCACGGTGCCGACGTTCTAATGAGACATAATGATCAACCATGACGCGATCGGCGGAGAAAAAGGTTAAAATTTGCAGCTGGGCCGGAGTGAAACGATCGGACGGTAAATTTAATTTCGCTTAATTAAGCTGTATCCCGGTGAAATTCGCCGTTTCCGTAAATTCAACCGGCGTTTAATTCTCACATTCTCGGAGCGATTAATTCGGAATCCGAGCTGATTCGTGAGAAGAAATCGAATGACGTATGCGCTGACACTCTAATCGCGTTTTAATTAACCCCTTCCAAGTGGCACGTCGACGCCGTGCCGACACGGGAGTTATAGATATTTCATTTGAAAATATAGGTTTTAATTTAGAAGCCGCTCGATCAACGTCTGTGCGTTATAAATGGACGCTATGATTGCTCGTTACGAGCGTGCTATGCAGAAAAGCGTTCTGAACGCAGGGAGACGCGCGCAAACAGATTAGCCGGCTAACTCCGCGGCATATTTTTAATCGAGTTTTGAATTATTATCCGATCGGCTACCGATAGCGGCAGCCGGCGCAAATAATTACGGGTTTCGAGTTCGTTCGGAAACGTTTAATCTCGCCTACCCTCTCGACTCGAGAAAAGATCGTTATCTCTCAGCGCACGAAAATCTGCTTTTCAGGATTGAGATTGCGCTAAAAGTGCGTACACCGAATCTGCGGAAACGAATCTGAGCGAGCAATCGTGAATTGTCGAACTTACCGATCGAAGTCGGTGAGTCTGGACGAGTCTCTGAAACCTTTGGCGAACGGGTTACTGTCGATCTTCAATCTCGTTATCTGCAAATTTAAGCGGAAACTTGCAAATTACGCGTCCGGAACGGGAGCAAAGTTCGAATATTCACTGTACGTTAACCCCGGATTGGGCGATCTCACTCCCAGATGAGATATATATCACCACGCGTAATGATTCATCGCGATATTTTCTCATTATATTTACGAGTTACGTACTTATGCTTACACAAATTTGACCTTATCATGCGGAACTACAATTTCGACTGATTGTATGTCAAGCTTTCAATCGATGAACGCCCGCTCCGGTGGGCATAATCAACTTCCTCCCAACTTACTGATCTCTTCGACTGGGTGGAAATTTATATGTTTAGGGAACGGGACTGCATTAATGGGGGTTTCTGTAGGAATTTCTCTTTTTTTGCAGCAGCAGCAAACGCTTGCCTGTGTCCGAAACCAACTCACCAACTGATTCTGATACGCCGTGACGGCCGTGAAAATGACCTCCGGGAAGATAAACGTCTTATGTTCTTCCTTTTGAAGGTCGGTGATTTTCAGGTCGCTACTGTCGGTGTGTCGACAAAGCACCAAGTGTATCCTAGGCTGATACCTGTGCATCGAGTTGAGCACAATCTGCAACACAACCAAGCGAACGATCACATATATACGATTATCGCTCTCTCCACGGGATTAAAGCGAGGAAAAATTGATTCCGCCACCTAATGAATTCTGAGTCCGGGTATCGCTGACCGCTTCTCTCCAGGCGGAACCGGCCGCACTCCTGAGAAAGAAAGAGAGACGATCGCGATCGTAATATTCTCGATAATAAAATACGATTATCGCCCACGATCGGCGTCGAAGTTTCACGCGAACGCACGCCTTAAGTCGCCGATTATCGTAAGTTATCGCATAATTATTTAGAGTATGCGTCTCTGCGCGTAATTGCGGGTTAATATATTTCGCTCGTTTACAGCTCCGTCTTACCCCTCCTTCCTTCTCCCTCGCTCTCTCTCTCTCTCTCTCGCGTCGGAACGACGTTACCGGTTATCGGTGAGATAGAGGCAGAAACTATCGTAGTTTTGCACATTTAATTTTTACTTTTTGGGCCAGCGAAACGGCGCGATCTTCGTAACGCGTGTAAGAATAAATACACACGGAGAAGAAGTGCTCTATGCCAGAATGTGACAAAATTAGTGTGACGATAGAAACACGATAATCGTCCTTCCATTTCTCAATATCGTATAATCTTAGTGAAAAAGAGTTCCGACCCGTCGGGATTAGCTTTAATAACACGAGGTGTGTTGAAAATTTAGAGAGAAGAAAAATCTTATCATCGTCTACTTGACCTCATTAACATTATTTTTGTTCTCTTAATTTTCAGCGTCGAATAATTTAACGTAAACAAGGTTTTCCTCGGATCGAAATTTTGATATCATTTTGATGCTCTTAACGACAGTTTGCACCTATTTATATGGCCTATAGATTAATAAAACCTACTTTGATACTATGTGGACCATAATCATCCTCCTCCCAACTTACCAGAAACTTTCACCAATCTCTTCCATTTCGGCTGGAGGATTAAAGTTTTAAGGGACGATCTCATTTCTCGCACCGAAAGAGAGAAGAAGAGAGGGAAAGGGAGGAATTTGCTTCTTTCTGTCACGATTAGATACTATAGATAACAGCCGCGGCCAGAGGTTGGTTGGTTGGCTGGTTAGTTGGTTGGTAGGTAGTTCCGTATCGATTTCCTGTCCGAAACAATGTGGCGCGACGAAACAAATTCCCCACGACGGTATCATGTAACGCGCGAGCAACCCCGCGCGCGCATCCGACGTTGATCTGCTCCTCTCGTCGTCGTTTTCTGTCTCGCGATCTTCGCTGTAGAGCGTCTCAATGAGACCGGGCGCAATCACAGCGTCTAATTAAAATCGGACAGTTACTCGAATCTAAATTAACCACCGAAGAAGAAAAAGAAAGTACACTGAAGAAAAAATTTACTAATATTCACTAATTTATTAATAAAAAGAAAATTATTTTCAATTTTAGCAAACCATTTGCATGCAACTGTGAAAAAGAATTCCGTGAAAAATAACTCTTCCTTGAATTAAATTATTTACTAAGTATGAAAATATATTTTCTACGATACAATCAATATTTATTAAAATATAAAAATATTTACCTACCTATCGTTGTGTAGCCGACAATTCAAGGTCATTTCAAGGCAGTTTCATTTTTTTTTTAATGAAAATCATATAATTTCTTTTCAAACAAATCTATTTCTCTGTTTATTTAGACAGCAAAAACCTGTTCTGAACCAATTTGAGCGAATGAGATGAGAGAATGAAAACTCGTAGGAATAAGGCTGCGTTCAGAAACATACCACTAGCTGCACCAATTAGGACAAAAAGATTTCTTTGTCATGATTGGACATACTTTTGAACAGTTATTGTCTGATAGTGTGCATACAGTTGATGCTTTCCAGCAAGAAACATAGAGAGACACAAAGTCGTTTCATTGGTTACATACCATCTTAAAATGATCTTAAGATGATATCCAACCAATGAAATAATTTTGTATATTTCTGTGCTTCCTTGCTCGGAAGCAACTAGTATGTGTTTCCGAACGCAGCTTTACCGAACCACGGTTCTTTTTTTATGAACCGGTTCTCGAACACTCTTTGATGCGAACCGGTTCAATTGAACGGTTCGCGAACCATCTGCCCACCTCTACATAGAATATTTGATGTATGTATGTACTGTTCATCATTAATATAATAATAATATAATATATTCGTTTTGTCTATTTTTTTTAGATAAAAACGCACATGTGTAGTGCGGAAGGGTACTATTCTGCTGAAACCAAACTGTATCCAAATTTTGGGCGAAAATATTGCAAAAAATAGGAGCGATATTTTCTCGGAGCATGGCGAGATACTTTTCAGCTATTCCAACTATTCCCGCTCATATATTAAATTTTTGTGAATAATTTTTGTTTATTATTATATTATTCCGGTTTTATTTGCACATACCATTCGCATGCAATATTGTGCCCTTAGTATATATATATATATATATATACATCCAAATGTTTTGTGGACAGTTGCATGCAAACAAACGTTTACTAAAATTTAGTAAACTTTTGTAGGTATATATCAAATTTGCACGATTAATAAACAAATCATAGGAATAATTTACGGGCTGCAATACATGTATATATTTTCATTTACATGCATAAATAACTGATAATTAGGATCAGAGGACCGAAGTAAACTCTAATTAGGGATAAATCTTGAGAGAAATTTTTACGTCACAGTGCCGTTCTACTTTCGTCATTTCCTGATGGAAATTCTGAAAATCGAATCATCGCGCCATGATCCATTCTGAATTCACATTAATTTGATATGTATAATTTCTGCTACTTAGTCGCACCAACAAATGCCCCCGGAGACAGATGTGCGCTCAATGGACCCGGACGACGGGCTAATTATCAAAATCGAGCGACATGGTCGAGCGGGCTCGTTAGCATATATCAAGAACGATCCTAGAACGGAGGCCTTTCGGAGAGACAGACGGGTAAGACGAGAGAATGAGAGAGAGAGAAAGAATGTGTGTGTGACGGTAGCTGGGCTTATATATTATCGCTAATATGAAATATGGAGGCGGCTGTGGTGCCGCAACTGTTGAAACTTAACGGCTGCAGGTGGCCCGGAAAGTCTTTGGGCATTTCGAGCCCTTCTTGCCTGTCCCGACTTTTAAGTCCCGTTCGCTCGTGCGACCGGCTTCGGGATCCCAGCTACACGCACAGGTATGTACACATTTTTACGCATATACACGCGTACGTACGTACACAAGCATCCATATGACACGGCTATCCGATAAACCTGTCGTACACCCAATCGGATAACTTATTTCGACGAACAGCCGGAACAGAACTCCGGAAAACAATTTCGACAATTTCGTTTTTCACTTTCCCGGGCGATATCGACGGCGTTTTTCCGTTCGCAACAATTCGAGCGGAGATGAATTTCGAATTCTCAAATTTCGTATGGATTTTGGAATATATATTTAGATAACTTCGGGTTATGGTAAATAATATCGTTCGTATATTTGCTCGAAGTGAGCGAGAGACACATTTTTAATTGTCATTACATGTTTGTTCCTTGCGTTGCGTCGTGTTTCCGACATATTTATGCAATTCATCTTCGTAGATCTTCGTCAATCCGTTACCCGATCGATATATTTCTCAAAACCTGAAATACTTTTTGTCTAAAATCTCGTGATTTTCATATATTTCATTGTCAAAATGGGAAACCCTATATATTATTTGAAATCATATATTCTCTATATTTATTACTTACTTTTCAATCGATCTTATTTTAAAAACGTATCAAGAGTACTAAACTTAAAAACACTTCATAACTATGTCAGCAAGAAATAATAAATCTCAACTTTTGCCGTACCTAATGGACAAATATTTGTTATTTTCTGTTTCTAGAAGATCCCAATTTCCAATGATTAATTTAGACCGTCCGCCGTCCAGGCTAAAAATTGGCCTATTTTTATATATAAGTCGAACGACGCAAATACCTTTTTCTGTGGATCGATTAGTGTCCATTTGTAATAATTAGCCGCGAAAGGCTACCGAGAAATCGATCCGCTCTCAGCGACGTGATTTGCATGTGGTAATTTATCAAACATCGCGTCATCCACGTAATACATGTTGATAGCGGTATTACACGGGCGATTTATTGGAATTTTTCTCTTACCCCTGGTAGATTGCAATCACGGCGGAACGCCAGGTCGATCGTTAATCCGAGCCTCAATTAATAGACACATGTTTCTGTTAAATGCGATACCATGCGTAGTCACTCTAATGACTGCAACTTGTAACAGCAAATGATTATAACACGTTGAAACTTAAACGTATACTTTCGAATGAAAAAAAGAATGAGATTACACAACTTGAGATTATTTATTGCTCGTATAATGAAAAAACTTGATAAAAATCAAGAATTCATATTTGAAAGTTCTTATTGATGATTGATTAAGGTATAAAAGAAAACAATATATTGATTGTACACATGAGAGAGTAAAAAAAATTTGCACGCTTTAAGAAAGAAATTTTATGTTAATATGTGCACTAATTCAAGTTTTAACAACTTTTTGTAAGATTTTAATTTTTCACTTCAATTTGATCCACTGGTCAATTTGAGGATTAAAAAATCCAAATAACACGTATTTAATCCTTCACACGTCTTATTGTCTACAAAACGTCTTTTTAATGTTATCTGGAAAAGTTTTAATTATTCGATAGCAATCATTATAAAAATCTCCCGTGTTTCCGAAGGGATTCATCCCGATCATATTAACACAGTTGATGGAATTATATTTCCTAAGATCGCCTCAAGGAGGGGGAAAACGCCAAAAAGTGTGCTCGCGGCAGAAATGGCTCGGTCATCATGCGGAATAAATGACGGATGAAGTCGCGCGCGAGCGTTTAGGAATTTAGCGCGTCCCATCAGATGAGAACGCGCGCTCGGTAACTTCACATTAATATCACGCCGCAATTCGCCGTGCAAGTCGCACTACCGGAATACCCCGGAGGTAGAAACAAACCTGTGCGCTTCAGCTACC